CCATGTTACTAACAGAATATGGCTCATTCAACGTGATCCAATCCTTTACTTGATCACCAAATTCCTTAAAACAAAGGTCTACATAGTCCCTAAAATGCTTGCCTACACACATTTCAACCATAAGGTATTCATTGGTTGAAAGCGTTTGACAAATTGAGATTAATTGTAGAAATATGATATTAATTTATTGATTGCAGTAATTATAAAATTTAGAGGAGTGACTGTACAATGGCAATATGCGTAAATGTTTTAAAAACAGTGGCCAAGGCTTTGCATACTTGGCTGGCCTGTTGAGTCGTTGGACCTAATTCTATGTCAAAAGAGAGGTGGACTGCATTCATAGTGCAAACTCAACGATCCATATACTAAATCGAAGCTATTTTACAGGTAAAAAAAAAAAAGATCAAACAGCTAAAATTTAAATCCACCGGCTAAAATAATATTTTAAATTAATCTCAATCATATGCAACTCCAAAACTCACTCCAAACTCTATAAATACCCACCTATTTCTCAAATTTCAATTTTTTAAGGTCAAATTGTTCAAAATATTAAATTATGAAGTTATATAAAAAGATTAAATGAAGAAAAGTTATCCATGAAAAAAATTTAGACTTAAAACATTATTAAACAATTTAATAAAGTTGCGGACTAAAAATTTGAGTCTGAAAGGTTGAGGAAAAAATTTAATATCTAGTCATCATTAGTTGTCATGTGTGTAATTCCTCTTAGCTCATATTTAGAAATTAGGACTTGGGTATTTACTAAAAAGTTGAAGTACATTGAAGAGTTTATAAGGCTACAAAACCAAGATAATTTGTGTATTCATTTATAATGGGCATCATTAGGAAAATCAGCATCTGCATCACAATACTTTGTCTAGATGACTAGTCATATAGGCCAAATATTTCCAGCACGAGATTTTTAATAAAGACACGATTATAAGTCAAATCCTTGGCTGCCAAGTGTCCTTTTGACTGCCCACTTTTACCAGAAAGGCTGGGGCTGGTCTGGACTCACCAACTCTCTCATTTTACATTTTTCATATGGGTTTTTATAGAGAGAGAGAGAGGGAGAGAGAGGGTTTTTATAGAGAGAGAGAGAGAGAGAGAGAGAGAGAGAGAGAGAGAGAGAGAGAGAGAGAGAGTTCTAGTGGGAGAGTGCGTAAATTAGGTTTTGCCTTTTGGGAGAAGAGTTCATGGTTTCTTGAATTCCTTTGGGGCTTTCATAGAAATTTAATTTCCCAAACTTATGCTTAGTGATACAAAGTTTTCATCTCTCATCACTTTCATTTTCACAATTTTGGAAAACTTGGTTTTCTCTTTGGTTTGTATGAGAGTGTTCATGGCATAGAAATGAGTTTTCAAGATTTCATTTTGAAAGCTACTTCTTTTTCAGAATATCTGACCATAGCTTTGCATATCAAAGTTTTAATCTCTCATCTTTTTCATTTACACAATTTTGAAAAACTTGGTTTTCTCTTTAGTTTGTTTGAGATTGTTCATGGCTTTTGAAATGAGGTTTTCAAATCTGATTCTATCTTTGAAACCAAATTCACCCATTCAGAAGTTTTGAGAGTAAAACTTCTACTTTGTATTCTCTATTTGGTGAGGTCTGAGTTTTCATTATGAGATTTTGAAAATTATTCTTTGAAATTTGCTGTGTTTTTTATAATCTGCATATGGGTTTAGTCATGACTATTCATCTTCTTCAGTATGCATCTAGGTTCATTATGACAAGTCTAGATTAGATTAGATTAGATTAGATTCTTGGTTGATTTCTTTAGGAGGATGGTTTCTTGAAGGAATTGACCCATTTTCATCTCAGAATCTATATTTCATGGTTTTGTTCGATCCAGAGCTTTTTTGCTGTGCCATGGGGTGAAGAAATTGATGGACTAGCTACCATTTCCATGAAGAACAAGCTACTAGCTCAACTAAGTTTGGAGAAGAAGGTTGCACATTGAGGTAGTGTTTATTTCCTAAATAGACCTAGGATTGTTTGAGCGCTCGTGATTTCTTTTCTGTAAGAATCTTCTTGACTTAGTGGATTCCTTAGTCAGAAGATGACTCCCAGTTTTTTCCAATGGTGGGTTTCTGAGTGAACAATTTTATGATGTTTGGTTGTGTATGTTTGACTAGTCGTACTGTGTTTGATATACTTTTGATTTATCAATGACTGTTCACACACTGTGCACCTTGGTTGTTGCTAGCACAAGGAATGCCTAGATTGACGGGTCCTTCTAAGTGCTTAGGTTGTTACTTAGTCATCTTATAGGTTTGCAGGGTCTTGGGAATTAATTGATGAATGGATGTGTATTTTTCCTGTTATTAGGTTTATGACTAGTTGTTAACTAGTCATATTTCTGCTAGGTTCATTTGATCATTGTCATTGTCAGATTTGTTTGATTAGGGGATTTGAATTTGTGTATCTGGTGTCTGTTCATAGGTCTTTGACTAGTCAACTAGTCATATTGTTACTAGGAACAATTAATCATTGTTGCCTTACATCTGTCTATTGGGGTTTTAATTTACCCCATTCACCAATCTGTCTATTGGGGTTTTAATTTACCCCATTCACCTAAGTACCAATTTTATACTAGTCTTTTGACGTGAGACTTATATAAGCAATGTCTTTTTATACTTATATAAATAAATGTCAGGTAACCTAAGAAGTCAAGATATACATGTACGCTCTACATGCAACAGTTATATCGTTTCAAATTAATAGCCTTCCCTCTCTAGTGTTGACTCAACACCTTGCTCACTTGAGACGTCCATTGCTTCTAACAGGTTACAATTCTTATTAGGTGACTTTGGAGTAGGCGGTATTGTTATATCCGCCATGTGGATAACCTAATTCTTTTACCATGTTAGAACGTGAGTATCCAACCCAAAACTAATTAGTAATGTGGGAAGAACAAAAATATTTTAAGTTCTTTATGTTAAATTTCCATCTGCAATGTGAGATACTCTTAACATGCCCTTTAATGTGTGCATTCTTTGCCTATAATGTGTGGACAATTCTTATGGGATCGTTGCACTTACCACATGGATAACTTGGATCTAATACCATATTAGAATGAGAGCATCCAACCCAAAATTATTAATTGGCAGTGAATGAAGAGGTGCAAGATATTTTAAACTCTTTATGTTAGCTAGACTTCCATCTCTAGTGTGAGGCAATTGACCAAAAAAGACATGTGGGACAAAAGTCCGAATCTAAATATTTACGTACATATAAGTTCATCCAATTGATTATGTATATATTCATAAGGAACGATCTGGGTTACAACTGGAATTTATTTTTGTTGATGTGCACAAATAACATTTAATGTGAGATACTCTTAACATGCCCTTTAATGTGTGCATTCTTTGCCTATAATGCGTGGACAATTCTTATGGGATCGTTGCACTTAACACATGGATAACTTGGATCTAATACCATATTAGAATGAGAGCATCCAACCCAAAATTATTAATTGGCAGTGAATGAAGAGGTGCAAGATATTTTAAACTCTTTATGTTAGCTAGACTTCCATCTCTAGTGTGAGGCAATTGACCAAAAAAGACATGTGGGACAAAAGTCCGAATCTAAATATTTACGTACATATAAGTTCATCCAATTGATTATGTATATATTCATAAGGAACGATCTGGGTTACAACTGGAATTTATTTTTGTTGATGTGCACAAATAACATTTACACATTATTGAAGTAATACAAATATGGAATGAGTTATCATCTGTTACGTACAATAACTATAATTTGATTTGTTCAATATTTTTTTAGGAAACTTTTGAACCAATGTGCTGAAACTTTCGGGTATCTTTTCTGTCCATCATTGTAATCCACATAGTTGATACCAAACCGAACAGTGTATCCAGAACTCCACTCAAAGTTGTCTAGTAATGACCATGCAAAATATCCCTTCACATTGACACCATCCCTACACCAAAGGATAGGAAATTTCAAATGCACTTAATTCAATGTAATGATTAATTAACTTAAATGTAAGAAGGGTAGAACATATAACTAACATATTATTTGTTAATAAGAACTTACTTGATTGCTCTTTGAAGGTACGAGAGGTGACTGTAGTAGTAGTCCACTCTCTGGGTATCATTAAGGGCTTCCTCAAGTGATAATTTGGGATCATTATACTCATCAATGCCTACAAGGTGAAATTTGGTATCATTTAGTTTTACCAGTCCTGATCTCTTGGACTATAGGGGTCCAAGAGATTTGTGGTCACTCACTGTTTGATATAAATTCAACGGTTCATTCACTATTGCACTCCTTTTAAGAAACTTTTTTGAACCATTGGATTAATATCCAACGGTGGGTGACCACAATCTCTTGGACTCATGTGGCCCAAGAGATCGGGACTGTTAGTTTTACATGTACACTTTAGAGCATTTAATTGTATTTTACAACTATACATGTGAAACATGGATGAAGAAATTACCGAAGGCTTAAAAATAATTACCATTCTCAGTAACGTAAATTAGTGGATCATCATACTTTTTCTTTGTATATAGTAAAAGATCTTGAATTCCTCTTGGATAAACATATAGCCATTCTGAAGCAGCCTGCAACTCGATTTGAAGATAATTGAGATTTTCATGAGTTAAACCCTATCACGCCCTTTTGAGATGCCTGCACATTTTAAACATTGATTTGGTTGATTAGACCACGCAAAAGGTACTATATTTGTTTATCCCATTGTACAACTTAATATTAGTGAATTAAACACGTTTAATCTTAATTAGGACTGAATCTTGTCACAAAAAAATAAAAATAAATAAATATGAGTTAAAGAGGACCTGATATTTATCTTTGTACACTTTTACAGCAGCTGCATGAGAAAGTAAGGAGTGGTGTGCCACCAAATATGGTTCAGTAGCTGAATCTCCACCAGTGCAGTTTAAGTTCTGCCAATCTGAACATCGTCCTGGTGCGAAACCTGCTCCTGCATAACCACCAATACTATAGGTCCATGGCTCATTTAATGTGATCCAGTGCTTTACCCGATCTCCGAATTCCTTATAACAAAGTTTTGCATAGTATTGAAAATGATTGCTGTAGGAAAAATTAAAAATCAATATTGCATGTGGATTTGAATTTCATACATCATAGTAGTGTACACTGAACTTGATGGTCGTTCACTTACATAATATGAGGGCTTAAGAAACCACCATATTTGTCTTCTAAAGCTTGAGGAAGATCCCAGTGAAAGAGTGTCACAAACGGCTTTAAACCTATATACATACATGATCAATATAAAAGCAAATTAAGGTTTTGATCAAATGTGTCTTATGAGTGCACATAACTCTTATTATATATTTGCTGTAATTAGGGTGAGATGATATACGAGATTAGGCAGTTGTATTACCATTACGTAGGAGTTCATTGATGAGATTGTTGTAGTATTTGATTCCTTCTTTGTTAACGCCCCCAGTTAGTTTTCCATCTAATAATTAGAAAAAAACAAGCAAATAAGGAAAACCTGTCTACAATAGAAATTGAAGTAAAACAGGTTAAACTATATTATTGGTTTCACAATAGAGCCACATTACTTCAACCAAAACATAAGGAGACTAGTGTATTGTAGAAAGCAAAAAAGAATTAAGTTCAAATTTGAGAATTGGTTCCAAATTTGCAACCAAATATGAATCAACTTACTCGGTAACAATCTGGACCATGAGATAGAGAACCTATAAGCATCCAATCCCATATTCTTCATAATCCCCACATCTTCCTATATATAATAACACAAGATATTTTAAGAAAGAAGTTCAAAGTTATGGATCTCATATTTTCAATGTCATGTGTTTTCTTAAGTCCCATAAAGTTCGTGTGATCTTTGAACACCTTATAGCGGTGATATTCATCATTCGCCACATCTCCATTGCTGCCATCCTTTATTTTTTCTGCAAATATAACCACATAAAGTTTTAATTATAGATATTTGTGTTTGTGTTATGAAGAAAAGTAAGAGGCTTCATTCTAACTAAGCCGACTAAGAAGTGGTATTAGAATCGGTCAAAGAAAATTCTTTGATCCTAGACTTGGTGTAGTGGACTCAATAAAACTGTGGCTGGATTCAATTCGCACACCAAATCATTCTGAGATGAAACTCCATATATTCTGCCTCTTTAGCTAGTCATATAAAATAAATATGTTTTTATAAGTAAGTCCATTTTAGCATGATATATTATATAAAAATTCATATAGAGTCTATTTGGAGAAAAAAAACTCAAAATTAACAACTTATCATTTTCTAATTGAAAAAATGATATATCATGTTAGAATAAACCTATTTGTGAAAAGCCTTAAAATAAAATCGAAAAACGAATGAAAACCTTAATGATACAAACACTCATTTTCACAATACCATTTAATTAAAAAATTATAACGGAAAAAAAAGACAGTATTAGACGATTTTGGATAATACAAATCACATTCCATTTTTTTATAAGCGAAAAAAATATTTATTTGATATATAAGTATTAGAAGATTGGTGCACCAAACTGAGAAAACTATTTTAGGGCCTTGACTTGGGGTGCTGAAAAATATTTTTAGGGAATTTTGTCATATAATATAATGAATAACAAAAGAAAAGAAAAACAGATTTAAGAACAAATATTTTAAAGAGGGTATGATTATTATAAAATATAATGTTATTATTTTTTAATAAAACTTCCACTTGGTTTCTGGTTTCATTCACATGTATTCCCCTTTGATACCTATTAATTATTTTTTCCCCCTACTATAATTTTTTATTATAGCCGGGAAAGACCAGTATTATGAAGGTCTTGAAACTAATTAACAAATTAATACTTTACTTAATTGCATCCTGTTGTAATGAAGTCAAAAATACGTAATTTCCATGAAGTAAGGCCACCACTTTGGCTTGTTTAGACATTGGAAAACGTATATATAATTAATTATATGTAGTCTCGGAAAAGGTTATGTTGACTTAATTATGAAAGCAAAACGCAAAAAGACCGCAGTTGAATCCATAAACTAAAGTTTAACAGAAACCAATAGAGGGAAAGCATT